AAATATGGAGCTTTAATAAATTGTACTTATGCACAATTACTTGTAATCTTAAATTTTAAGTAATATAAATCAATAAACAGTACTTTATGCATAAAAATGAGCTTTTAAGAATTTTTGTTAAATGTCTTATAATATAGTACAGATAAACTATAAAGGGGTAGGTTATGGTTAGAAAATAATTAAAAGATGAAGTTGACAAATAAATATCACGTGGTAATATAATAAATGCTTTGAATATATTAATTGTGAATTTAAGTTTTTTAGTTGAAGGGACGGCCTTCTTTTATATTATATTTATAACAAGTGGTCATGAAATAAGTTTTGTATGAATATATTAACATTAAAAAATCCTTAAAAGTAAATATAAAACACAAATGATCATACTTAAAACCATGATTAGAAATATAAATTATGTTCCCACAAAATTGGAAATTAAATCACAAAATTAACTATAAAATAATTGCATATTTCAATTCATATTATCGTAAGGTCTATATGACACCCTGCACCGCCCCTCCTGATAAATACTTGTATCAACCATGATTCGTGGTTGAAGTTGAGATCAAAGTTGATCAAGGGTCCAGTTCTTTCTTATGCTTCTACATTAACTCTCCTTCTCACACGATCATTCGTTTATAAATAGGGTTGAGTTCTTGTGAGAAAGAGAGTTAAGGTGAAAAACGTAAGAATTATTATATACTCTTAGATATAAATTAGAATGAGATGCATCAGATCAATCTATCCCCGTATTAAGCACGATTCATGTATGGGTTTAATTGAGTTTGACATTTGATGATTTTTGAAGACATTTCAATTTCCAAAAATTTCAACACCCCTATAAAGGGGTGCAAATAGCAATGAGCGATTTTAAATGATATGTTTTTCAAGGAAATTAACATAAGTAGTTATTTCGGTCGATTAAATTTATCTTTTAATAATTTCTCTCCCGAGTTTTCAAGAGAATCACTATCTCCTCAAATAATCATTCCTAAAAGAAACAAATTTTAAGTGTTGTCTGCAAATGGCACATCTACACCTTACGGATGTGCTAGCGATTCTGAAAATCACCAATAGATAAAGAAAATGATGTGTTGATTGGACACCTTGGTAGACTACCCATAACTCCTCTCTCTCTCTCTTGAAACACACATTCTCTCTCTAAAACAAGAACACAACTATTCACATATGATAGATGAATGAGTAGTAGAAACTTGCTTTTTGGTGTAGAGATGAAGCTTTGACATGTGTCACATTAACAAGTTGCGGATATGCTACTTGCGAACCATGTTCAGAAATTGTTTTTATATTTTTTTCCGCATTTAAAAGTTAAGAAATGATTATTTGTGGAGTTGGTGACTAATAAAAAAAACTTGAGAGAGAAATGATTAAGAAATAATTTGGTTGGCCGAAGTGGCTATTTGTGCCGGTTTGCCATTTTTCAAAATGAGTTATTCTATTGGATTCTTTTCAATATTCTTTGATTGATAAAATAATTGATATTTGTTTGGGTTAGTTTATGTTAAAATTGATTGAAAACTGGTTCCTGATTAAACGGGGTTGGTCATAAATCAACTTCGGTCCAAAGATGTAAGCTTATATGTGCTCGTTGCGGTTCCACCCGACTTAAAAAACAAATCAATTTTTTAAAGATCTGTTTATCTTATGTAATTATTATTTTTAAAATTTAATACTGAAACACACTTTAAATATTAGTACTAAATTTTAAAAACTCTTATCACAATTTAGAAAAATTATTAAATATTAAATAAAAATGAAAAATGCGCGATCCAATGAGCGGTCCATGGTTTGTCGGGTCTCATTTTTCCAAAAAAAACTCAAGTTGTCTTAGACCATGAGCCGACTCTATGACATTGTTTGGCAAATATAAGTTAGATTATTTTCTAAACAGATGTTTTGATGCACATAAATTAGTTTATTAAAATATTAGTTGGGATAACATTTTGTAAGTATTTTGTTAATTTTTTTAGTTATAACCCTAATAAAAATTAGTTATTATTTATTATTATTAACTATAGATAAATACTAATTA